ATATATAAATAAATAAATAAATAAATACAAATATATAAATAAATAAATAAATAAATAAATATATTTGTTTGTGTTGTAGAAGTTGGGTGTATTGAGTGTTTTTGTTAGTTTATATAAATAAAAAAAAAATAAAAAAAAAAAAAATAAAAAAACAAAAAAATAAATAAAAAAACAAAAAAAATAGTTTTTTGTGTGTTATAAGAGCTAGATATGTTGCTTATATATAAACAAAAACAAATAAAAATAAAAATAAAATAAAAAATAAATAAATAAATAAATAAATAAATATATTTGTTTGTGTTATAGGAGCTGGGTGTATTGAGTGGTTTTATAAGTTTATATAAACAAAAAAAAATAAAAAATAAATGAAAATATTTTGAGTGTATATAAAAAAACAAAAATAAATAAACAAATAAACAAACAAATAAATAAACAAAAAAACAAATAAATAAATAAATAAAATAAATAAATAAATAAATATATATTTGTTTGTGTTATAGGAGCTGGGTGTATTGAGTGTTTTTGTTAGTTTATATAAAAAATAAAATAAAAATAAAAAAACAAAAAAAATAGTTTTTTGTGTGTTATAAGAGCTAGATATGTTGCGTGCATCTATATAAATAAAAATAAACAAATAAACAAATAAAATAAAAAATAAATAAATAAATAAATAAATAAATAAATATATTTGTTTGTGTTGTAGGAGCTGGGTGTATTGAGTGGTTTTGTTAGTTTACGTCGTATAGACTTTCAGTATTTTGGCGGAGCAGCAGCAGCACCCATCTGCTGCAGCAGCAAATATAAACAAACGCTGCTGCTGCTGCTTGCTGCTGCTAGAAACCAACAAAATACAGGTATTTATATTTATATATTTATATTTATATTTATTTATATTTTTATATATTTATATTTATATTTATATTTTTATATTTGTATGGATAGCAGCAGCACCCATCTGCTGCAGCAGCAAATATAAACAAACGCTGCTGCTGCTGCTTGCTGCTGCTAGAAACCAACAAAATACAGGTATTTATATTTATACAAATAAATATATATATATATATATATATATATATATATATATATATATATATATATATATATATATAT